AAAAAACTTACAGGAATACTGAGTGTGTAGCTCAGTGTTAAAGTGCTTGCTTACCATGCATGAAAGCCTGGGCTCAATCTCCAGCACCACCACCAAAAAAAAAAAAAAAAAAAAAGGTTAGGGGACTTCTGATGTCACCTAACTGGTCTAGAACAGAGCTATACATAAAGCATCTGATTAGGTAGTACAAGCCTATAATCCTAATCTACTAGGAGGCTGAAGCAAAAGGTCCCATTTAGTTTGTGTGACAAGAATCATGGAAAGAATTAAATTTGTCAGTTGTGGTACCATTGTACATATGTACTCACTTTGGTGGAAACTGCCTTCTTACCATTCAAGGCAGTGTTCTTTCCAGTAGCCTCCTTTTCTGTCCATTTATTATCAGATTGATGTATCTTTTTGGCATTTAGTCACACTGAAATAGTGGTCATTTAGGTATATGGTCGCTGGTTTTATTGCCATCAGTGACTACTGCTGAAGGTTTTCAGAACCTCATGTATTTAGCCTGGTAATTTGGAAAATACTGTAACTTCTTTTGAAGGGTATTTATGGTACTGGAACTAATATTTTATATATATTTTTTTTTCAACAATTGAAAATATTCTCAAGTTCCTGCAGTTTAATCATGTGTTCCCATTAAAACACACACAGCACTCGATTTGACTGAAGAACAGAGCTGACAGTACATTGTAACAGATTTGTTGCCATGTGTGTAACTAACATATATTTTGACAGTGGGAGCCCCTTCAAGTGATAGAGAGACACAGCAATTAATCTGGATGGTGACAGCCCAACCCACTCTCAGCAAATTTAAGTACAAATCATCTATCTGGACCTATCCCAAAATTGTGGCAAAGGGGCTTCTTGGTGTTAAATGTTCTCTAGGATACCAGATTTGGCCCACCTATTTCCTTTGTGAAAATTTAGCTCAAACAGTGTATACCAGCTTAGGATGTGAGCTGGTAAGATACTTAAATCATTACCTGGAGTAAATATGCCAATGAAAAATATTAAGGGAATAGCAGTGTAGCTCCAGTGATATAGCACTTTCCACCAGGCCCAGGGTTCAATCCCTAACACCACAAAGACCGACTATTAGCAGTTTTAAAAATAAATATATTTGTATATTGCATACCTCCTTTTTTTTTTTACTGTCTTCCTAGTGGTTATTTGCTGTACAAGATGCAGACATGATATCCTATTTACAAACTATTACAACAAGTATACCTCCTTCTGGTTACACGTCTTATTAGCTATATATATGGTGACAAATCTGTTAACAGTGTATTGTCAACATTGTTATTCAGGTGAAGTGAGTGTTGTACGTTTTAATGGAAACTCATTTTTAAACTGTATTAACGTAGAGAACATTTTCTGTTGTTGAAGTACCGTATATCTGAGTTGTATTTAGCATTCTGAGAAAGGGCAGAACATCAGAGATACTATATAAAACAGCAAACCCATAAGACAGACCAAAGTATATTTTGCTGCCCTTTCTTTCCTATATAGATGCATCTGTATTTGGACGGATGGTAATAATTTAGGAAAGCAACAGTTAAGTAATTTAAATGTGACCATTGCTTTGAGTTGACTTTATAAATCTACTTATTGAAGAGTTTTTCCTGTATAGGTCCCTTAGCAAAAGACTGGTGTTTTGGAATTTTGTTTTTGTCTTTTTGAGATAGAGTTTCACTGTGTGGTTCAGGCTGTCTTTGAACTCACTGTTTAGTCTAAGTTGGCCTCAAACAGCAATCTTCCTGCCTCAGCCTCCTGAGTGCTGGGATTGTAGTTGTGCACCACCACACCTGGCAGAAGACTGTTTTATACCATATAGAAGCCAAAATGGGTTTTAATTTAGATCTGCAAAGAACTAGTTACGTTATCTGTGAATAAGTATGACAGTGTCATTTCTCTGTATTAAAGTAGAGAATTTTGACCATTTTGCTACCTTGTAGGACCAGGAGTGTAGCAGGAGCAAAAGCTAAGATACATAATGTCAGTGTTTTGGTATGAAACATTGGAGAGTAAACCAGATATTAGGATAAAATCTGAGAAAGAAGAGTAGGACTATAACTTCTCCTCTTCTTCCTCCTCCTCCTCTTCTTCCTCCTCCTCCTCCTCCTCTTCTTCCTCTTCCTCCTCTTTCTTCTTTATTATTATATCCCTTGTCAGGAGTTTTTATATTGGCAAATTGGATTTGTTTTTATGAGACTTTACTTCTTAGAATATTGTAGGTTTACAGAAAAATAGAAAGTACAGAGTTCCTGCATATCCTCATCTCTTCTTGAGGCTCAACAGATTCCCCTGTTAGCTAGACACCCTCATTTTTGTGGCACTTGAGAAAAGTAAAATGGCAGTGTATTCTCCATACAGTGTGACACAGAGCAGTTTCACTGTGCTTAATGGCCCGTGTGCTGTGCCTGCTTGCTCCTCTCCAACTCCACACTCCTGGCAAGCAGTGATCTTTCTGCAGTCTATGGTCTATATAGTTTTCACTTTTCCAGAATATAAAATATAGTTGGAATCATACAACATGCAGGCTTTTTAGAGTGGCTTCTTTCACTTAGCAATATGTATTTAAATTCCTCCATGTCTTTTTGTGGCCAAGTTTTGGCAACATAAAGCTTCTGTAAACATTTGATTACAAGTTTTGTTATAGACATAAGGTTTCAAGTCTTTTGGGTAAATACCAGCAAGCTCAGTTGTGAGATCGTATGGTAAAGGAACATGTTTAGTTTTGTAAGAAACTGCCAAAGCTCTAAAGTAGCGGGTGCAGGTCCTCATCTTCACCAGCAGTTTCTCTTGTTCCACATTTTGCTAGCATCTGTTATTGCCAGTGTTTAGGGGTCTTGGCTGCTTTGATAGGTGTGTAATGGTATCTTACTATTAATTCGCAATACCTTGATGCTGTATGATGTTCAGATATATTCATGTGCTTATTTATCACTTACGTATCTTCTATTCAGACAGTCCCCTGACACACACACTCTAATACTGGGGATTGAATTCATGGCCTTTGCGTTGAGCCACATTCCCAGCCTTTTTTTATTTTGAGGCAGGGTCTTGCTAAACTGTGCTTCTCCTGCCTCAGCCACCCAGAGTGCTAGGATTACAGTCATACACCACTATGCCCAGTTAACCTGTTTTAAAATTAAATTGCTTATTTTTGAGTTTTAAGAAATCCTTCTATATTTTTAATTCCAACCCTGTATCAGATGGGGGGGGGGGTTCCCCCAGTCTGTAACTAGTTTTTTCATTCTCTTAAGCAAATGAGATTCTGCTGGTAAGTGCATTTTCTATTGATCTTGGAAAATGTAAAAACGAGTAACTTAGAAGAAAAACTTAAGATCCCTCAAGTTCTTTGAATATTCTCCAATCCCATTTGGACTTAATCTGACCACTCTATTAATTGCTTCAACCTAAAATTCTTTCTGTATAGTCACTGTGGAACAGTGAGAGCTTCTTGTTGATGGCTTAGAAAATTGGTGATTGTTTGATCACTTCCTTTGCCCTGTTATATGTAATTCAATGTTTAAATGCAGGCTGGGAAGATAGCTTGGCAGTTTAAATGCCTTCCTGGCAAGTGCAAGGACCCAGGTTTGATCCCCAGTATCATATGCGGTGCCGGCCACCAAGACTGGGCACCACTGTAGCAAATAAATAAGCAAAAGATTTTTAATAAATAAATGTAGTTTTTAATATTTTAGTAACATTCTGCACAAAAATATAGTCCCACACTTGAAGTTTGTGCTAAATTAAGGACATAAATTTAAAATAATAAATGTGCACTAATCCAACAGCATTCTGCAGTATAACTTAAATAGTAAAGAGCTAAAAATAGGTTGTTTTTGTTGTTGTTGTTGTTGTTGTTTTTTGTTTTGTTTTGGTTTTTTTGCGGTACCAGGGATTGAACTCAGGACTTTGCACTTGCCAGGCAAGTGCTTATTCTACTGAGCTAACTCCCAGCCTTAAAAATAGTTGTTGAAAATGAGAACTAAACAAAATGAAAGTTTATACAATTCTCACATTTTCACTCTATTACTTAATCAATATTCTATCATTTTCTGAACATTGGACATTACTTGTTTGACCATGCTAACTACACGGCATAAAGATCATTATTATATTTCTAAATGTAAAAAATCTGGCATTACCAAGATAGTATCTTGCCAGTTTAAGTTGTCAGAGATGTAGAGTAATGCTCTTCAGCAGGAAGACTGAACTTTTTTTTTTTTTAATAAACTTTTTTTTTTATTGGCACAAGTCTTATTTATTTATTTATTTATTTATTTTATTTATTTATTTTGTGTGTGTGTGTGTGTGGCCAGCTCAGCGCACCAGGGGGCGGGGCTGGCTGGCATGTGGTGCTGGGGGATTGAAGCGCGGTCCCCGTGTTTTGCTAAGCTTGTTCTAAGTAGGTGCTTTAGACCACTGAGCCATCTCACCAGCCCCAAGACTGAACTTCTGTCAGGAAGATTGTTCTCCCCTTACAGACCTACTTATAAAAATGTTCTTTTTTTAGAGAAATGATAAGATAAAAGACAAATTTATCTATGTATGTGATTGTCTCAAACTACAAATTTGGATTCCCAAATAGCTGGGTATTGGCTTCCTTTCCTCAGTGATCTGCCTGCCCTGCACAGTCTACTTTCTCACACAGTTATTGTCATAATGGAGTACATTGCTTTGGTCTTAATGCTGTCAGCATGGCAGAATCAAGTTCCATAAAAGGCATTTGAGAGACAAACAACCTTTTTTATAAGAGGGAAGTGAAGGTGGTAAAACCTAATGTGTGTTCTGGTTTTCTGTGTCTGTGTGTTTTCTTATTCAGCCTCCATTTATAAATTGCAAGGTACTGTTTTGTTTTGCTGGCATTTTGTTTGTTGTGGTACTAGGGCTTGAACCCAGGGCCTTTGTGCCAAGTTATGTCTCCAACCTTTTATATTTTTAGTTTTTATTAAGACAGGATCTTGCTATGCTGCTCATTTGCCCAGGTTGGGGTCAGCTTGGAATCCTCCTGCCTCAGCCTCCCTGTGCACTGTACTTACAAATGCATACCATACACCTGTCTTCAAAAAAATTTTTATTGATACATTTTAGATACATATAACGATCACAGTCATAATAGGGAATTTGTACTTGTACATGATATAGCTTGCTTCATTTTTCCATTCTCCTGTCAACCCCTCTTCCCCTCATTTACATTTGAACTTTTTTTTTTCCATTTTTCAAAATCTGTTATGCATTGTGGTCCTTATACTTGTTTTCTCACACTAGAGAAATAATGTGGCATTTAAATGTGTGTCTGATTTATTTAACTTAAGAGTATGAGGATCTCAAGGTACATCCATTTAGCTAGAAATATCTCAACCTTATCCTTCTTTCTGGCAGAGTAATACTCCACTATAGGGGAAAACCCACACTTTATTCATCCTGGCTTTAATTATTTTTATTTATTTATTTTTTAGATAGAGTCTTGCTGTGCAGTTCAGGTTGGCCTTGAACCCACTACAGAGCCCAGGCGGGTCACAAACTCTTGGGAGTCCTCCTGCCTCCCAAGTGCTGGCATTACAGGCATGTGTCACCACACACAGTGTCTTCAAAATTTTTTAATCCTAAAGTTTATATGATTTTTAAGTGCTTTAAGTAACCATACTATGCAGTATCAGTATCAGAGCCAAACTTTAAAGTTGCACAACTATCTTTGGAATGTTTGTTAAAATGATTATGCAGCTTTTTTTTTTTTTTTTTTTTTGTCTCCTCCAGTGCTGGTCTGGGTTGCCTTGAGTATCTGGGAATTGAACCACGGCTCCCAGAGACTGACTGCTTCGTTTAAGCAGGCACTTAAACAACTGAGCTAATGGGCGGGCCCCCGGCTATTTTTTTATAGAAAGACTTGTATTTTTCTTTAGAAAAACTTTCCATGGGCTTTTCTCAGCAGATTAAAGTGCCTGCAAGCAGGCGCAGGGGCCTGGAGTTGGAACCCTGGGCCTGCTGTGCCAGCCCTGCTCCCAGGGCGCATTGAGACCTCCATTGAAACTAGGTGTGGTGGTGCGTACCTGTAATCCCAGCTCTTGGGAGGCTGTACACAGGAGGATCACTATGAGTCCTATCTACGCAGTGAGACCCAGTAGACCCGTAGTCCCTGTCCTAAAAAAAAAAAAAAAAAAAGAAAGACAGACTTTCCAAAATTTAGAGGAGAACCCTTTCTTCATCAGTTGGGGTTTTTTGTGAACTAAACTTCAACCTAGGTAAGGAGGAAAGCCTGAAGTTAGAATTCTCACTCAGACATCTGTCCTCAGCTTAAAGAGGGCAGTGGCACGAGGAGTTGGGTGATGCCATCTACATGGCTTGAGCCACTCTGCTCAGAGAAGCTGGGGTGCTACCTGAATACCTCACAGCTGTTTGAGATCCCTCTTTACCCTGCTCCTAGGGATTTCCTTGGTGTCTTGTCCTGTGTGGGACTCTGCATCCTGCCTTCCCGGCTTTCCTTTTTACAGATTACCTATGGGAAGAGTGTGTGTAGCACATTCTTTGGTAGCCTCTTGGAAGAGTAAGCTTGGATGGTATATTTCTATGGCCTTGTTTGCCCCCCGAAATAGTTTTGTTTTGCCCTGACCCTCCCTTACATCTCTGAATGAGTGAAGCCTTCTGGTTTGAAGATCATTGTATTTCCCTTCAGATTTCTACAGGCATTTTTCTTTCTACTTCTTGGTTTCAGTGTTGTTTTGTGATGTCCAGAACCAACAAATTCCTTTTTTTTTTTTTTTTTTTTTTTTTTTTTTTTTTAATGTTACCTGTTGCTACCATGGGAAGAGTGAGTGTGTGTGTGTGTGTGTGTGTGTGTGTGTGTGTGTGTTCGTAGTTTCCCAGAGCTATGTTTTGGGTGGAGGTTACCTTTCTGGCTGGGCATTTGATGCTCTCCAATTCTAGGAAGGTTTTTTGTTGTTGTTTGTTTGTTTTCAGTTGTTTTACTGATAATATTTTCTAAATTATTCTCTTTCTGGAATTCCTGTGCTGCAAGTCCTCCTTGGACACATACCCCCACCACCTTGTGTGGAACTGGTGATTTAACCCATGGCCTTCCCATTGAAATCCACCCCAAGTCCCTTTTTAAAATTTTAGAGTAGGATCATACTTAGGCTGCCCAGGCTGGTCTCTTGTTTGCAAACCTGGGGGCCGGGGAGATGGCTCAGTAGAGTTCAATCCCCGGTTCTGCCAAAAAAAGAGAAAAGTTGGCCGTCCACTCTTAAGAGTGCTGGAATTACAATCACACACCACTGTGCACGGCTGGATTCTGGGCCTCTGCTCATCTTTTAACTTTGTTTTCATATTTTCTACCTTGAGCCTTTTCATCTGCTCTCTGTGTGGATTTAACTTTTATTTCCAGCCCTCCAGTAGAATCTTGTCTCTCCTGTCATTTTTATATTCTAAGATCTTTCTTTCTCTGTCTCTCCCCCTCCCTCCCTTCTTCCCTCCTTCCCTTCTTTCTTTCCTCCCTCTCAAATATCTCATTATTCTGTAGTAGCAATTTTTTTTTCAGTAGCAATTCTTAAAAGATCTTTTGGTGGGCTTAATGGGTATGGGGTTTTTTTGTTTACTTTTTATCAAATTTCCTTCTCCCTGTGCACTTTGTTCCAAATTGCTTTTTATGAGTTTAACTCTCTCTCTCCCACTAAAAGGCCTTCCTCAGATTTCTGATAATCCTTGGTTATTTGCTCATTATCAAGATTTAAAGGCCTCAAAGCTAGATGGAGTGAAGCATACAGGCTTGAGGACTCACCACCCTGGGAGTCACTTGGTATATCATTTGTTGGTATAAGCAGTCAGGGTATGTGTCTTCAGCTATTTCCTCCATGGCTGCTGACATTCTCAGGGGGGAATTTTTCCAAATTCCTGTTTAAGCCTACGTGGATATTCTGGATGTAAGTCATTAAGGGAGGACTCAACCACATAAAATGTACATGTACCACTCAACCAGTGTCTTTGATGTATGATCATATCCTCAACTGTATATGTGACTGGCTTGGTGTCTTTCTATAGAGGTGGAGAATAAGACATCTCAGAATCTGACTTTTCAAAAATTATTTTCCTTAGGTTCTGCCTTGTTTGGGCCACCTCTCCTCACCTTGACATCTGAGCTTATAATGTAAACAGGTTGGTTTTGTTGCTGCTGGAAAGGAATTTGACCTTCTTGGTCATTTAAGTCAGTAACCATTGATTTTTGTGAATTCTAAAATTCTAGTGCTTTTTTCTTGTCTTATCCTTGTGTGATTATGAGGTTATTTTTGTTTTTGTTATAATAGTAATACTTTAGTTGGGTTTTGGAAGGAACAAAATTAGTGTATGGTTAACTATTTTAATCCAAAATCCCTTTAGAAGTATTTTCAAGAGTTAGACATACGTGGAACCAGGTATGATGGCATATGTGTGCCTATAATCCCAGTACTCAGAGGCTAAGACTGGAGGATCAAGAGGTTGAAACAGAAGGATCGGTAGAGACCAGCCTGGGGGCTACAAAAAGTGAGCACAAGGCCAGCCCAAACTGCATAGCAAGACCTGTCTCAAAAAGAGTTAGACATACTAATTATATAAGACATTTTTATGAAATTCCTACTGTGTGCCAAGTACTCTTGTCTTTTCCGCCCAGTGTACATTAAGTGTTCATTAAGTCCACAGTAGCAGTGTAATTAATATAGATGGCAATTTAAGAAAACACTTGAGATTATTATTCAAGAATTCAAGATATCATTATAGTCACTAATACTGAAGTTATAAAGTAGGTTAATACCTCTGTTTGAACAAATGATTTTAAACATTGGAATTAATACAGTTCTGTTCCTATGAGAGAATGTGTTTTTGTTTTTGTTTTTGAAAATGTTTTTAATACTGCCCACTAAGTCCAGAAATACTACTATAAAACTCAGTATTCCTTGTAATTATGTTCCATAGTCACCAAACACAGTGGGCAGATGTTGAGCCATTGCGCCTATGGAAAATGCAAGGCTATATACCTAATCAACCTCTAGTCGCATTTTCACCAACCAATCAGTAATAAACTTGTTTTCATAAGCAGTGAATTCAAAAAAGCACATAACTAGAAAAAAATATGGTGCTAAATCACAGGTAGGACTACACACTTGTTTACAATGTAGGAGTTGAAATAAGGCAAAATACTGCAGTGTTCAACTCCACTGAGGACTGGCTCTGAGGCTCCAATTTTTGCTTCACTGTGCATGTCTGTGAATGACTATAGAAGCTCCAGAAACATGTTAATTTGTAGGTTACATATATATTTTTTGGTAAGTAGGAAAATTCACAAAATAGAATCTGTGAGTAGTGAGGACAAATTGTATATCTTGTCCCCAGTCCCTCTAGCACTACAAGAAAAGGGTGTTTGTAATAATCCTTTGAGAAGTCATTGTAGATTGTGTGTATGTTTGTGCAAACAAATATAAAAGCTGCTGTTCTCCAGAGTTTGTAGTAGACAGTATGGAGATAATAGCCAGTATAAACTCAGTAATTAGCAATTTTCATAGCTTGCCTTATTGACTTTTACAATCTTGTGAAGTGTTATTTTTATTCAAAAAAAAGTGGTTTGATTGGAGTACTTCATAGTCCTACCTCTCATAGAAAAATAGGGACTTGTCACCTAAAATCTTAACCATTATTCAGCACTAGATCTCAGTTCCAAAAAAACTCGTCTTGCTTCTGGATCACTGAAGTTGCATGTTGGTAAAGGTAGTGTCATGGTGACAGGCTACAGAGTATATGTGTGCTGCTTGATTTAAATATAAGTCCCTCATAGGTGCTTTTATGTATAACTTAAATGATATAGAGGCTGTTAAATGAATCGTTTTTGTATTTAATCATTGTAATCCAAATGATAAGGATGCAGTTTACATGCTTTCTACAAAAAAAAAGGAAGAGATAAATGTAAGAACTAGCAGGTGGTTTTAGGATTTGATGCCTTCCTGAGATAATGAGCATTTGAAGAGGTCTGAGAACCTAAGAGATCTTTGGTAGCAAAGGTAAAATGTGATTAAAGATTTTAAAAATGAAAAAATATATATGTGATTTCCTCTTTAAAAATAGGAAAACAATATTTTCTAGCCACAGAATTTTTAAAAATTTTTTCAAAGATTTATTTATTTAGTACAGTGTCTTGCTACGCAGCTTGGACTCATAGTGATCCTCCTGTCTCAGCTTCTCCAGCGCTAGGATTACACACCATGCCCAATTTCGGTGGCAGGCATGGCGTGGGGCTGGCATGGCATGCAGTACCAGGGATCGAATCCTGGTGCTTGCACTTGCCAGGCAGGAACTTACACCACCGAGCTATCTCCCCACCTCTAACCACAGAATTTTAGAACTAGGAATTCTTTTTAAAATTATAAAATCCAGATCCAGTGAGCTAGCTCAGCAAACTAAGCACCTGCTTTGGCAAATGAGGGACCAGGTTCGATCCCCGGTCCCACATGCCACACCAGGCCCCACCTTAGGGTATGCTGAGCCAGCAACCAAGTGTGGGCATGGTTGCACACATGCACCTGTAATCCCAGCGCTGAGGAGGCTGAAAACAGGAGGATCACTATGAGTGGACCTGCATAGTGAGTCCCTGTACCAAATACATAAATGAAAATTAATTAATTAATTATAAAATCCAGTTACTGTATACATAAGAACATGAAATCCTGGGAATTGATTTGCCCTAAGTAACACAGTTACGGAGACCAATATACAAATTGCTTACCTTTCAATTTCACTTTTTCTCAAAGTTTTAGTCAGAAGATTATTTTTGTGCAAGTGTACGCAGCCAGAGTTGAACTGGGAACTATCACAGTGTTGTGCTCACTACTCGGACCCTGGAGCAAACAATCACAATAAAGTGCAGAGGCCCCACAGCCTTCAGAGAGGAATGCGCTTGCTTCTGGGCCACATCTGGCTCAGGATGTTTTAGAATTCAGGCTTTCTGAATTTTCATGGGAAGCTGCAAAACTAGATGTTGTTATGGAATATTGGCAGTTGTGTCAATCTTTAAAACCACAGTGACATCAAAACAAAAAAATGTTTGTGGGCCCCATTCAGGCTGCCAGTTTGAAACCTCTGTCATAGCAGATTTCTCTTACACTGTAGCTTTCTGCTCCTATGAAAAGGAACACAAACTAGTTTCTGTGACAGATAAATGCTGACAAGTTAAAGACACTGCCCCTAAAAGAGGTAACTATGTACAGATAGATGTATGGCTGTTTACTTCATGAAATTTTTTAATGTATTTTTGCCATGTGTTGCTCATGCGCAAAGATTATATATGTTTATTACATTAGGATTGATTCATATTTTGAAGTGAAATGTCGAATTCTGCAGCCTCATATGTTAGCAGACTTCCCATCCTTATCTAATGCACGCAAGGCTCTGGGCTAGCATTATCACTTGCTGAAGTGTGAATTTTATCTTGTTTCAAGGCAGTGGGCATTACGTAGCATCTGCAGCCAGAAAATATTACTCAACCTTTCAGTACTTTCAAAGGTAGAATGGCCCCAAATGCATCCCCAAATCTTATGAATTTCTTCCTGAGAAAACAAGGTGGTTCTAAAAGTGTGAGTTGATGCAAAACTAAACTGCTGATTCCTAAATAAATTATTGATGAACCTTTTTTCCATTAATGTCCAAAAGTAATAGATAAAAATAGGTATAGACAATTTAGGGAGAACAGTGACATTCAACCATACATTCAAAAAAACAAAAAACACCACAAATTATTCCTGTGCAGCTCAGCATTCACCATGTGGACATGCCTGAGTAACCTGAAAAAACATAAAAATGAAATGTTTACTTATACCACTATGCATAGGCACTTTGCCTTTTATTTGGGATCTGTTACATTTAGTTCTGCCAAGAAATTGTAAACATAGGCTTTGGGTGAGTTTAGTCCTCATCCCTCTTGGCTGTATACACAGGAATGGGGTAGCTGGGTCACATCTTATCCAAAGGTTTAACTTTAATAGGTACTTCCAGGTTTCTAGTGCACCTAAGTCATTTCAGACTCCACCAACAGTATTTGAGTTCAACCTGTTCTGTATCCTAAGCAAGATCCTAACCCATCTTAGCTTTTTCATTTTAGTCATTTTAATGGGTATCATAGAATATACATTTCATGTGTGCTGAGATTGCAAGCCTTAGTTACCTATTGACATTTTGTCTATCTTCTTGTAAAATTCTTTGCAAACAGACCCTGTAAACTTTAAGTGACTTTTAAAAAGTTTATATGCAAACATTCTTATTCAGAGAGCTAGCTAGTTTCCCCATGAACTCCAGTGCAGTAAATAAGTAATTCCTCTGAGAAATAACTTTTGAGAGATCATGAGTATACTTAAAATCAAGGTGGCTTTGTCCCACAAAAATTGCCTTCCACTAACTTTATAGTAAGTAAGAAACCTTGGCTGAAATATTTTTTTGGGCAATTCAGACTACCAACATTAGTAAGAAAGAATAAACTACAAATAGTAATAAACAACTTCTCAAAAATTAGCCATTAAGGAGTAGACATTGCCTTTTGGTTTTATGAACTCAAGAGGGTTATTTTGTTTTGCTTTTAAGTGTTTTTGTTGTATGTTTGTTTGATTGATTTGAGACAGGGTCTCAGTATGCACTTGAGGCTGGCCTTGAGCTCACAACAATCCTCCTGCCTCAGCCTTAGGAGTGCTAAGACTACAGGTGTTCATCACCACACCAGTTTCTTTCTTTTTTCTTTTTTGTATTTTAGGGAAGGGTCTACAGGGTTATTCAGGGTCTCACTACTAGATCGGACTCATAGTGATCCTCCTGTTTACAGGCTCCCAAGAGCTGGGATTACAGGCATGTGCCACCACACCCAGTCTCAATTACCATCACAGCATGCCCAGGGGCAGGGCTGGCACAGCAGGCCCCGGGGATTGAACCCCCACCCCTGCAAGGGCACTTTAATCCACTAAGCTATTTGGCTGACCCACCACTCTGATTTCTTTTTCTTTTTTCTTTTTTTTTTTAAAGAGGTGTTGATTTATTCCTGAACAACATTACCATCTCCAACGTGTGACACTTAAGCATGCTGATCTACTCAGTCCCAGTTAGAATGTACATATACAGACAGGCAGAAACACGCAGTCCTGCTCCTTTCCTAGAAGATACTATCACCACAGGGCAAGATAGAAGGGCTATTTGTCCTTTACAATCCTTTTCCCCTTGTCTCTTGTCTCCTATTTCTTATCCAATGAAAAACAAATAGACATTTCTACTTACAGAGAACTCCCAAATGTAGGAATGCCAAATGTGCATTACCAGTGCTACTACCACCACAATTGCCTACTGCCATTCTCATATTTGGCAGATAGATTACAGCATTCTTTCCTAGAGTTCTCTAAACACTTAGACTCGATTACTTGAAATGATTCCTAGCTGACATCCTCAACACAGAGATGGTTATTTTTTTATTATTATTATTTATTTATTTATTTATTTTGCAGAACCGGGTATTGAACTCAGGCCCTTGTGCTTGTCAGGCAAGCGCTTATTCTACTGAGCCACCTCCCCGGCCCCAGAGATGGTTATTTAAAGGATACCTTTTATACAAGACAGTTAAAGTCAGAGGGCCACTGCTGGCAGTGTGACTGCTTCAGAGGTGATACTGAGGTCACCAGAGTCATCCTGAGTCCTGAATCGTGTTCTGAGTTCCTTTTCCCAGGCATTTAGAACATGCCTCAAAGCTGGGAACAAGCTCTCCAGGACACTAAAAGAATACAACAAAGCTGGGGGCTGACCTGGAAGCCAAGAGATATGGGCAGTGAATACCCGTAGTGGGGTTAGGGCCAAGCAATTATCATTTCCCTGGTTCAGGTGAAAGGTATATGAGACAGGATAGCCTAGAAGGAGCCCAAATACAGTACAGAGATTCCAGTCTGAGGAATGGAGCCTGCTAGGAGAGAGTTAGGTCCCTCTGCAGCTCCTGCAAATGCATGGTGATCTCAGCCACAAAAACCTTCACGACTTGAAGCTGGTCAGGGGAACAGAGGGAAGGGTATGGTTGGGAGGTGGAAACATCCACCAATGCTACAGTGCCAAGCAGCACCTGCTCCAAGTGCTGACGTGCATGCTTAGGACTGACAATGAGACAATCTTCTCCGACCTCCAGGATGTGAAGTCCTGGGATGAGGAGACCCAGCCTCTGCAGTTCCTCCAGATAACTCTGGAGTGCCAATGCTGCTGCACAGTTGTAATCATAGAGCACAGCTGGCTTTAGGCCCCGGGCCACAGCTAGTAACTCTCCAGCTAAGTGAAGGCAGAGGGCTCTGGATGGACCCTTTCTCTTTCCTATGCCCAGGGTCTGCTGAGCAGCTGCCACCAGCAGCTGCGGGCTTGGTGGTGACATGAGATCTGGAAGCAGCTTCAAGCATGGCCTCCTTAGCTAGCCATAGTTCTTTTCCCCTGATCACATCTCAGCTCCAGACACTTCAGCCATTTGCACTTCCACTGCAGGTTCATGGGCCCAACCACACTGGTTTCTAAAGAAGTTTTTTGCAAAAAAAAAAAAAAAAACCCTCATCTGTTAGCAAGTAAAATAATAATTGGAAGAGTTGATTTAGTAAGAGAATGTAGTTTAAGTTGCCTTTAAAAAATTATCTGTACACTATAATATTAACCCACATCTGACAAAAAAACTAAACAAAGAAAGGGGATATAAACGAAGGACCATTTTGTATCTGTATATACAAAATAGTTAGGATAGTTATACAGCTACTTTCTCTTACTTCGATGAGAAGAAAGACTTGTACTAATAGTGTTTGGACAGGATATCATGTCTGCATCTTGTACTATGAATAACTGCTA